ATGGGTGAATCACTGAAAACTGCGAATAAACCTACATCATGAACCAGAGCAAAAGACGTTCTGTTTATGCAAATGGCCCAGAGTGATTACTACTGACACAGTTCAGATAATTACCGTAACTGAAGATACTACGCGCCATTATCGTGAAGTACAACTTTACTCAACCCATCGGTACCCAGCATATGGCACTGTCTTGTATCTACCAAGTATCGATCGCGAATTCACCATCGACCTTGTGGCACGTAGGCCAAATCCAGAGAAAGTCTGGACGACGATAGAGAACAGGGGATAAAGAACGTTACTCGCACTGCGTAGGCGATGACCTATAGGGCAATATTGTTCAACGCTTTGATGTATCGTAGCTCTCTGATCAAATGATGGCATTGGTCCCTGTGAACCCCAAATTCCTAGTTCATATGGTCACATGCATTTGATTTCCTTGCTTCTTTCTGCAGTTCAATAAAGACAAACAGAATAATAAAATTATGTATGTAAAATGCAAAAAGCATAATTAGCACTCTTCATATTTAGAGAATTTGATAATCAAAACGAGCTCAGACACCGTCGGTTTCGAACTTCGGTGGTATCGAGGTCGATTCATGATAAACATTCTTTTAACCCCTCCTTAGTCAGAAAATTCAACTTCCCTTGCTTTCTTGTAACCGACATAGGAAACGAGTAACAAATCATTGCAAACTTACAAAGCTTACCAGTGCTGACAGCATGGTTTCCTCAAATGCGTCTGAGGTAAGGCCAAGTCGTCTGATTCGAGTGTTTCTTAGATCTTCAGTTCGTCCGACTGATAGGTGTCTGACCCATCCGAATACGTGTGTCCTAAAAACGATCCACATGTCCCCTCATCTTACACGATTTTACAAAATGATATTTAACGTTTTCTTTGCCTACCGTAGACTCCTTTCTCCCACGTCTTGATGTTCCGCATTTTATTGATTTTTTATTATAGCGATTTCTTTAACAGGTTTCTAAAGCAATAAAATCTCCCGAGGTGATCGAAAATGAAGTCACCGAACCCAGTGGTAAGTTGTTGACCAATTTGCAGGCAATTTCGTAGGTCTATGATTAACCGCGTTTTTTCAGATTCATCCGTCAAAAGTTACACGCTCTCTTCCGATGTTCTGTTGGACTTGGAATCGACCACGTTCTCCAGTGAGGATCAAAGTTGTAGCCAGTCCAGCCAATCAGGATCGTTTTCCCTTGAAAATGGCCAGAAAAGGTATGACTAAACTTTTCTCAGTTAAACTTCGAGCAGCGTAGTTTCGGACTTGCATATCACGCAAGGAGCTCATTACGAAACTTTAACTTAGTGACGTATGAACCAGGTTGTTCAATCGTTGTAAAGTGCGATTCAGAACTCAGAGATCTTGAGTCATTTGCCTCTCTCCCTTCTGAAGTCGATGGAAGAAAACAGGATACGGTACTCTACGCTTATCACGTGACTGTGGACACTCTCTTTAAAATAAGACACTGAAAGCCGATGGCATGGGAACGAAGCCACTGGTGATCGTCCAATCAGGAAAGTGTAAGGGAAACCGATATCTCACCGTGGCAAACGTAACCTTTAGCTCTATCTATAATGTACACATAGGCCACGATTTAGTTGATACTACCAAACATTGAAAGCAGCCTCTGTCCTGGACCATATTCGTGGCATGATCAGTGACTGTCAGACTTCATCAACGACATCCCCTAAAAATTGGAGCGGTACAATTTGAATGGACCATCAGCTGTGGGCTGGTGACATGCCATTCTTCCTATTAATTCTACGACGTTTGAATGACGTTACATTTTA